ATCCAAATTAATACCAACTCTACAGGAAATTGTTTTATGTTTCGTTTATTTTTTTTGTAATATGACTGTGGGGGAAAAAACACCCTTTAAAAACAGTTTAATGTTCTTATAGGTCCTATATGAAATCTCCACTACATTCATTACAATTCGTATTCAAAGAGGCTTCATTGACATGACTGTAGTCTAACAGCCCACAGCATTATCAAGGCAACGTGCATTCTAATGTATGAACAACAAAATGTATTAATACCATGTTTCAAAAACAATAATGTCAACTGTATTTGACAAGGTCTGTTCATTGTACTGGAAGGATATTCATATACATAATGTGTGTGTGTGTGTGTGTGAGTGTGTGCGTGTGCCTGCGTGTAAAAATCATGTTGTATGAATATATGTTAGAGAGAATGAGAGGTGGGGGAGGGAGGGATAAAAGGGAGGAGGGGAGGGGGTGACAGAGAAAAAGTAAGAGGGGGTGTTTGCTGGGAGGAGCTTCTGAATCTGAGAGCATACTGGGAATGCACTGGTGGGAAGTGTGTGTGTGTGTGTGTGTGTGTGTGTGTGTGTGTGTGTGTGTGTGTGTGTGTTTGAAGAGCCTTTACAACTTGCAACATCAGGATATATGAACATGCTCCAAGGTTTACTCCAGTAAGAATATGGAGCTGATAATAAGAAATGTAATTAAAGCATAAAAGATAAAAGTGGTCACTGTGTAGGTGGAGCATGTCTGGTTGTCATTACTGGTTCATTAACATATAAGCAGCAGCCATTTAATGTTGGTTTGGGGGTGGAGCTGAACTGATCTGTTTTTAATGCCATTGGTTACTTGGGTACCTTGAGCTGGAATGATTGGTCATTCCCCATCATTCGTTGATCGATTATTGTGTGATGTAAAAATGCTGTAAATGTGTTTGCTTCCTGTTCCCTACATTTTAATATTTTCAATTTCATTCATTTTCTACTATCTTAATTAAAAGAATATTATAATATTTCAATTATTGGTTTGGACGAAAAATACTAATATAGTGATTTCTGCTTTGGAAATTGGCTTCTTCAATTTATTCAGCTGAGAAAACAATCAAGTGAGTAATCAGATTAATGATGAAGATAACCCCCATGATGACCCTAATACCACATCATATTTTATTAATTGTGATTAAAGCCGAGCTATTAACTGACCATATGTTAAATCCTAATCCGTAGAGTGACTCGAGCTGCCAAGTCAGTGTAGTGAATCTAGTAGAAGTAGAAGTAGTCTGAAGGGACATAATAATGGAAATTCCAGGGTAAATTTAAAGTTCTTCAAAATGTACTGAGGGTCAGTAGTCGATACATGTACTTAATTACAATGCACACAGCCTTGTAGTCATTATACGTCATCCACTGCCTCAGTACGAGCCACTTCAGCGTTAGTGATTTTTTTATGATCCAATTACAACTGAAGGGTTATTTTCCATTCAGAAAAAAAAGCTTTGACCTTTATTGTTAAACCCGTTCAAAACACTGTCCTGTAAACTCACTGTGTATTTTCATCAAACAGGATTGTAGGATCCCATTGAGCTGTTACTGCAAACTACATATCACTGCTATCACAACACAGCATCACTGCACAGATCTCCGCAAACATTACTGCAAACCACAGTTTCCTTCCCTCTGTGTCAACGTCCATGTGTTTTGACCACGACCACGAAGTTTTGAATCATTTTAGTGCCAATGCATCCAGATCTTAACCTCGACCACAGCGGTGATAGATAAGAAGACGGTCAAATTCATCATTTTAGCAAAAGTTGTGACAGTTTCGAACGGCCCCTCATAAACAATGTTGTCGTGAGGTGATGGATCAGAAACACTTGCGACTCAATATGGAGGGAAATGATAAATTGCCTCTTGTTGTATAGTTTGGAGGACATGTTAACTATTTAACTGTCACTTCAGAGGACGCACACTTTCAAAAACAACATCTTAAAAAAGTTACATGCCTGTTTCGATATGTCACAAGGGCTTTTCTTCATTGGAGAGCAGCGTTTCGTCTGAGCATTCAGCAGATATCGATTTAACCATAAATCCAGATAGAGTGTAAATCACCAGCTGGCTTATTGATCCAGAAGTTTTCCCACCTGGACTATTTTTATCAACCACTGTCTTCAAACTGCTCCTCTTCAGGAGTAAAGTTTTTTTTTTGCTGGAGCACAAGGCTTCTTGTAATGAGAGTTAAAAAAAATCCAAACCAATCACTTCCTCACGTAGATGATGAACGTGAGGTGACAAAATGCTTTTTGGGTGGAAAAACACTAAGAGCTCCCTCCTAAGGATGATAAAATGATTGAATGTCTGCTGTCATCAGCCTCTGCACTCATCCAACGTGCGCCATCTTTCATTTCCATCCCTGCACACGAGACAGCCACAGTCCAGATTGTTCTTGTTGAAATTGCTCAATGATGGAACAAGCTCCCAAATGCGATCGGAGTCTAAGCGTCCTACTCCATCTTCAGGAACCTCCTCTAACATGCACAACCAAATCATTTACTTCAGTGCACTTCTTCACCTGTTCTCCTACACTTACTACTTTCTGAGCAGATTTAGCCCTTGTTCAACATCTCCTCCTGAAGTGAATCTTTTGAGTTTGCGCTCAGTGGCTTCTCCCGAATGATTGAAGGTAAATGTAAAATATAAACAATTATGGTATATCTGTCTAACATGGATTGTATATGAAGATGTGTCACCTCCTCCCACTATCCAGAAATCAAACTCAGCTGTCAATCATGATGATTCACTACGTTTTCATAGCATCAAATAACCAATTAAAACCAAACTAAGTGAAAACATTAACTCTTGAAAAAACATCAGTTACATATCTATCAAAAATGACTAAAATTTGGGATATTTACTTCGACTTTTAAATTGGCTCCATGTCCCGTCCACTAACATAGAAGAGAAAGGATGTATAACCTATACTGCAGCCAGCCACCAGGTGGCGATTTGGACACTTTGGCTTCATTTTTGGGAGAAGTCATTCTGTCCATCTTTATCTCCAGTCGATGATGAACCAACAGACCTCATTATGTCTCAGCCAGAGAGAGCGACTGTTAGTCATTTCTATTTCCTCGCTAGTGTTGGCAGCAACAGGCTGACCACAGCTGCAGAACAGCAGCGACCGACTGGACTGGGCCTCCTACTGGCTGCAGTGAGAACTGGGACAAACAGAAAAACTCCACAATTCAAGAGAAAGTTGACATCATGCTCGACAGAATACAACGAATGACTCATGCTTTAAGTGATCTAGTTGTTTTGAGGCAGCTGGATTTTACATCGACCGATGTTCAGTTGTGATCCAGTTTGGGATCTGAGAGAGAGCGAGAGAGAGAGAGTGAGAGAGAGAGAGAGGGGGCTACATCTGCTCAGTGTGCAGTGGTTCGCTCCATGTGGCAGCTGAGATTTGTGCAGCAACTAAACTCCGGCAGTGAGTCCCAATGAAGTGAGAACACAGTTACTTATGTAGGCTTTATTACAAGCCAGGGGAATTTAACACAGTTTTACTTCTTCACTTGTTATTTGTTCTTCTCCCCCTGAGATACTGTGTACTGCTTTAATCACCTGTTCTCGTCACAGTGTGTATTCGAGTATACAATTATCTAATAGACTCTACCAGAGACACTGGAAATGTCATCAGTATGGTGAAAAGATTTTAATTTAATGAAGTCTAATAAAAGGATATCTGTTGAGTCTAACTTGCATAAGAAAGAATATCTAATACATTAAAATAAAATGCAGGACATCACCTCTGGTTCTACAACATTTCATAAGCCTGTGCTGTAACAGTACAAAGGGACAACTAGAGTTTATTCAGGGCCACTCAGAGCACCGTTCCTTGTTCTGCCATGTGGCCTGTAGTTATCTGCACTGCAGTGAGTTGAAAGTGACCATCATTTTTCCATTTCAGGGGAATGGAAATGTCACATGCATTCTTGTGTATGCGCCTTTTCTGACATGCATTTTCGTCACACTTGATCACACCACTTTGCCGCACTCTGCCGACCCAGCTGAGCCAGCCAAGCAAGGAGGAAGCAAAAAGTAGGAGGCGGCACAGAGCGAGCTCTGCTGAGCACCTCAGTGGTCACTAAGTAGAAAAAAGAAGAAAAAAAAACATTTCTCCGTGGACGTTTGCGGGTAAATTTATAAAAATTGTTTTGAGGTAATGAGAGTTTAATAGTCATCTCATAAAAATGAAGGCACAGATGAATAATTTACTAGAATATATTTTCATTTTAGTGTTGCTCCACAGACATGTTGACTGAAATAACTCAACAAATAATGGATGGATTCAAGTTTTTACTTTTACTCTTACATTCGTGGTCCCAAGAGGATGAATCCTACTGACTTTACTGATCCCCATCAGGCTTTTACTTTCGTCTCACTATGAGTTTGACATATTTGGCTCTGAGTGAAATATCAAGTGTTGATTTCTGCACTGCAGGTGCTGTAAGATAAAGATAACCAGACAGTCAGAGCGGATTCTAGTTGTTCATTTCATTTTATTTCTTAATTTATGTAAATGTTCCTTTATTCACTCAAGTAACTGTCAAAGATTTAATATGAAACAATTCTTCACTAAAATATCTAAAAACAACTAGAATTATGTTGAATATTTTGTTGACCTTTTAATTGCATCATATCTGTTACTTCCGGGGCAAATAACGCAAAGGACAGACACTGTGCCAGTTAGCCAGTTCTTGTTGTCTCGAAAGTGGTTTGGTGTAGAATGTGATTATTTGTTTTAATAGGTTATCCATTCATAATTATTACCAGTTTTTGAATAATAAAAGTAAAATTGAACATCAGGTTACTTTGTTGGCTTTTGTTTGTTGTGTCTGCGTACTTCGTATCCACACCTGGAGCTTTGTATCCCTGTGGTAGTTCATGTTCGTCTAGAACATTGACTCGACCGAGCACAGATGGTGACACGCAGCACCTATCAAATACAATGTGTAAATGAAGCATGGGGAGGATGAAGGATGGAGATGGGGGAGGTGAGGGAGAAAATCATCAGAAAGGAAAGGAGATGAGAGGATCAGAGATTAAGAGATGAAGAGGGGAGCGGGGTGAATCTCTGCACTTTATTCTGTACATCTGTGTTTTATTCTGAATCGAAATAACAATTTTATTGATGTCTATTTTTGTTCGTTAGAAGGCATGAACCCCCCAGCCCCCGATCCCAGACAGATGGGACTCATTTCTATGATTAAAAAGTGTCCTGTATGTTGTCCTGTTACTTTGCACGGGGAAAAAATGTAAATTATTATATTGAATCATCCCTGGTGCTGTGACCGTCAGGAGGAGGACAAATCCAGACATAGAACGCCCCAGTGAGAGTCAGTCTGACCGCCCACAGTCAGAAAACACTAATCTGCCAACAACCACACTGGACTCCAGTCTGGTGTTTTTTTCATGCTCTTGCACGTCACTCAGTCTTCACAATCTCTCCACAGCTAAATACCAATTTGGCAACAGATGTACAAATGTGAATATAGGAAGGAGGATGTCTTCAATTAAAAGTTTTCAGTCGAGTAGAGAGGAAATAACGTGTTAATCTTGGAGTTTTTGTGCTCCACACTTCCCACAGGACGTGAATCCTCAGAATTGTTTTTGCCTTCAACACAAACTTCAGGGCTATAAACTAACTACAGCAAATACTCGAGCTGATTGAGGCGCAGCTGTAAGCACATACGCACCCTGGATTCAATCCAACCGAGGGGTTCTGGGAGCATTCTGATTCAATCAAACTGAACTTGAGGCTGGGCTAAACATTCAAGGTTTGGCAATGGTTTCAAAATGAGCGGACCCCCCCGCCTCCATGTGACCTTTAATCGTTCATCCAAATCTTTTTAATCAAACCTCTGAACAGTCAACAAAGTTTCAGACAACTTAAAGCTTCATAACATCATTTGTGCCAAACTAATCTGTCTCCTCCGCTGCGCCACAGGAAACGGTTACATCGAAGGGAAGGAGCTGGAGAACTTCTTCAAAGAGCTGGAGTCTGCGAGACGAGGATCAGGCGTGGTGAGCGAAGCACGGCACAGAGAATAGTACAGTCAGAGTCACACAAAGTGACTCCTGTCGGTGACATGAGTGGATATTAAGTCTCCATTATTACCAATACTTTATACTTTAATAATAATAGAATATAATTTTGTAATCTTTGTCTGCCTGTCTGCTTTTATCACTCTTGTGTAAAGCACATTGTAGCATTAAAGAAAGTGCTGTGTAAATAAGTGTATTGTTATTATTTACATTAATTACATTTGGTGATATAATATTTCATATAAAATATAAAAAGTGAGTTGCTATTGTAAATTATGTGTTATCTGAAGTGTCTTTGATTTGTGATGTGATGAACTCGCAGGATCCTTCACATGCTGCGTTCAAAGAAAAGATGAAGGAGTTCATGGCCAATTTTGACAAGAACGCTGATGGGAGGATTGAAATGTCTGAGGTGAGAAGGACTGAAATACGTAACTTATCTTCCCTCTAAATCTATCCAGTCAAGTAATTGATTCTAAAATGTAATGTTAAAAATATAGCAACCATTTAAATAATGCCTTGATCTTCTTCTGTGTAGCTGGCTCAGATTCTGCCCACAGAGGAAAACTTCCTGCTCTGTTTCAGAGAGTTTGTGGGATCCAGCACTCAATTCATGGCTGTAAGTTTGTGTTTATTCACATGTGCATGTAATAATTGTGACACCTTATTAATGCCTCACGGGTTGTGAATACATAACTCTCAACTCTCTGTACTATGTTAGATCTGTGCCAATTAAGTTCTCACACTCATCTTCAGTTTAGTAATTATAAAGAATCCCAGTCCCACAAAATGCCTCAAGTTATCAGAGTCATAACAGTTTCCTGTTTCCCTGGTATTTGTTTTGTGTGGAAACAGTGGAGTACGGCTGAAGGTTGTTCATTTATAGCCTGGATGGTCTGAAACTCAAACACTTACAAATGTCAGATATTATTCTAGAAACTGCACAATGTCGGGGACTTTTGTCTCGGTTCTCTCTAACAGTATGAATATATCAAATGTTTAGATTCTCTGCATGTGTTTCGATGAACAGCTGAAAGGAAAAATTCAAACTTAAATTCAAATTCAAATCCATAAATGAGTTTGTCATTGAAGAAAGATTTGAATTTAAAGCCCAGTTTTTAGCCAGAAATGCATCTAAATACTAAACTTGGTGAAAAAATGAACTTAAACTCAATGTTTTACACTAACATGTCACATCTAACCAACAAAACGCTATTTAAAACTGGATCACTTGGGAAAATCATAAGGAACGACCGCTATCTTCAGTTGCACATGTTGAGATAATTAAAGAGTGAAGGCTGATGATGATTGAACATCAGTGATTGAAGATAACGCACACGCACACACACACACACACACACACACACACACACTGGTGTAGTGGGGTTGAGGAGGGTTTTCAGTGGTGGGATGCTGCTCTCTGTGTTAAAGCTATTCTCAGACTGCCATACATTATGAATGGAACACAGCTTTCTGCAGGGGAAAGGCAGTAAGTGCTGGAGTAGGTATCCATCTTTGATGAGGACTGACTAATTCTATATTTACACAATGTCAGATGACACCACCGTTTCTCTTCACGAAAGTCTTTTTCCTGCTTTAAATTAGAGAAGATCTCTCATTTGTAAAGTCCAGTGTGTGTTTCTCGTTTCTCATTGTGGTTGAATTAGCACTTTTTTTCCTGAAAGCTTGTGTAACAGCATCACTCTTCTCCTGCAGGCCTGGAGGAGGTATGACACCGACCGCAGCGGATACATCGAATCTAACGAGCTGAAGGTAAAACACCATGAATCAGTCGTTAAAAACACTGATGTACCTGCTAACGTTTGGACTCTCACTACACTTCAGTCCGACCATCATTCTCAGTTTGTGTTGTAAATAAAACATTAATGATTTCATTTGTATAAAGATGCTGATATCTGACACATTTCTTAATATGACATTACTCATGCATATAGCTTATATAACTGGTGCTACTGGAGCTTCTGAACCTGCACATGTGCGCCGCGCTCTCAACGGAAAGTTCTCCCCTTTGAAAACAAAACACTTCACTTTCTTTTACGTCCTGAGCTCGTGTATAGAGATCAACACCCTTCATTTTCTGACTGTGGTATTTCTCCCTCCTCAGGGTTTCCTGTCAGACCTGCTGAAGAAGGCCAACAGAAACTACGATGACAAGAAGCTCAAGGAGTACACACAGACGATCGTGAGCATCGTCAGACGCTGAATATGTTTTTGTTTTTGTTTTCTTTCTGCTTTGGCAAAATCTAAATCATGACTCAAGACTTTACAAGCAAAGGCTCAATATTCAATTGAAACTTTATCATCAGCTGCTGTACATCAAGTACAAGTCAAAGAATTAACCAGGACATTTCCTCGGACATATCTGTCTGCTCTCTGCCTTCCTGTTCATATGTTCACTTGGCTGCAACACTTCTGCAATGTAAATGAAGACCATTCATTTTAATATCCAGACACATAACACCAACATTATAATATCTTGAAAAATACTTAGCACACTTCAATGACCGAGACATCACTTTTCATCTCTCTGATCCGTGCTGCTTTTTAATCTGACTTGAATGGATGTGTTTAATGTGTTAGTCTGTGCAGCACATGATCATATTTAGTTACAGATTCCCAGATAAATTCCATGTTAATCCTCTTTCTGTGCAGCTAAGGATGTTTGATCTGAATGGTGATGGTAAGCTGGGCCTCTCTGAGATGGCGAGGTGAGCGTTACTGTGTTTATTCCTTTATTTAATAATGCTACTTTTTTTAAAGGATGTGAAAACATCAAACTCTTCTTTGTGTTTTACCACAGGCTCTTGCCGGTGCAGGAAAATTTCCTGCTGAAGTTCCAGGTAGGTTTATACTTTCTAACACGCTAACATGCTTCATATTGAGCTCAACGAGGAGTCATGTGAATATGTGTTTTGGGGAGATTTCAAGTGTCATCCCTCTGATCTACAAATGTCAGACAACAGAGGAGATTTATAATAGTACAATAGTTTAACATTATTGGATTGAGTGCAAGAGGATTATTTGTCATCAAAGTACTGAATGAACATATGGGGCACAGACACAAATGTGTGTTTACTTATAAGTCCTTCAGGAATTAAATAATACAGGATGACATTTCTTTCACAACCATTGTGGATTCCCATGTAAATCAACAGCTTTTATGTTCCATACTTTTTTTTTTATAAGAGTCAAATTATTCACGTTAAAGTCCTGTTTTATTAAATCCAGGAGTAACATTTGCATCTTAAAATAAAAAGAACTTACTTCACACATTTCCATGTACATTGCTGTATCTTCTTCAGTAGCCATAGTTTTAAAGCTTTAATGTTAACTATTTGTAGCACAGTGACAGTGTTAATTTACATAGATCCGCCACATGCATTTGTCATGTATGTTGCCATATGTACACGCAGGCTCGGTGCAGCAGATCAACAATTCCTTTCTGACAGTGGATTAGTCTGTCTGATCAGGATTAACTCAACTCTAGTCCCAGTTATCATAATCTCCATGGATTAATATCTCTTCTGGATCTGGTGGGGCTTTTACTGCTCTCTAAAAATATCCATCAGTTTCTAACAATTTTCACCGCTCTCTCTCTCTCTCTGTCACACAGGGCATCAGGCTCACGGTGAAGGAATTTGACTCCCTCTTCACCTTCTATGACAAGGTGATAAGTGCATTTCTGTGTGGTATTTGTTATGCATTGTGCACATGTCTACGTGAGTGTGTTGTTCTAAGGTACAGAACATACACAAGGGTCTCATGCCAGTGGCTCTGTAAAGCTGAGGCTAAATGCTCACATCAGTAACATGGTTACAATTGACATTTAATATATTCTGTGAATGTTGTGAGATTCTCTGGGGACTGTAAATATCTATGCAAAATTAAATGGCGACGCTTTAAATAAACACACAAGGATTTATTTGTGATATGTTAGCTTTATGATACATATATTTTGATGTATGCCTCTTATACTAACAAGAAGTTGATAAATACTCAATGGTAATATTGGTCTGTCGCAACGGTCAGTCAGCTTTGTGCAAAATTGTGAAACTCATGGTCCCAAGATGATGAATCTTTAACTGACTTTAATGATCCCAAACTTTCTGCCTCACTACTGTGAGTTTTACATTGAGCTTTGAAGTAAAATGTCTGGACATTACATGTTCAGTGGTCAGTACTGTCACAGCAAGAGGTTATTTCTTGTTTCCCCCCCCTCAAACAATAAGCGGTTTAACAAATGGATGAGTATTCATGTTCCCCTCAGGATGAATTGTTATAACGTGTGTGACTTTTCCTGTAACACTATCATCCGCCACAGCTGCAGTCTGGGACATTTAGAACTTATTACACCAGCTTAACATCAGCACGATACCATCATGGTGACCATATTATCCTGCAGATGTCATGTACGTTAGGTTTGATGAAATCTATGAGGACAATAGTAAAAAGAAACAATCTGGAGTTCAATCACAGACAGAATTTATACTTGGGACAAAAGGTTTCTGGAACGGATCAGTTGCTAGCTTTTCCTGTTCGAACTACTGTCAAACAATTGGCGGCGCGCTCTAAAATTAAAGGGTCCATTCAAGGGTAAAGAACAATTTAGATTATTACACACAAGTGAAAACCTCACTAGGATTATTTTATATTCATTGTCTGCCAATAGATCCCTTTCACCTAGATCTTACACACTGGACCTTTAAGAAAATCAGTTTGCCTGTATAATTCAGACCACCTTTGCTGTCTCTCTCTCTTCAGGACGGTAATGGGTATATTGACGAGCAGGAGCTGGATGCTTTGCTGAAGGACCTCTGTGACAAGAACAAAATGGTAATGAAGAGTTTACCCTATTGATTGATCAGTTCAGGTTTACTGTTCTTCTTGCCAAATATAGAGCTGAGATAGAGTAGCTGCCTGCACTACATGGCCTCTGTAACAGACAAACTTTTGTTCCCACCGACTGTGACTTTTCTAACCAACATCTTTTGAATGTGTGCAGGACGTGGGGTCAACAGGACTCGGCGGGTACAAGAAGAGCATCATGGCTCTGTCCGACGGAGGGAAACTGTACCGCGCCGAGCTGGAGATCGTCCTCTGTCGGGACTCTGAGCTGTGACCTCCTTGCCTAGGACCCTGCTGCCACCCCACTATCCCTCTTCATCATCTTCTCCTTCCTACCTCCTGGTGTAACCTGGTGCATGTGTGACCTTTAACCTCGCTTCACCACTTAGAGTGCTCCTGAAAGCACAAAGCGTTCTGCTGACCCTGCTGTTTTAGCTTTGTACCCCTCTGACTTGTTTCTTGTTTTCACCTTTACATGCATAGTGAGATAGCCATAGAGGAATATACTGTATAACTATATTTATTTATTTATTTGACTTTTCGTTTTGAATATGTATTCGTATTTTTGCATTCATGTCATATCTATTTCTTCTTCTCCCACCCAATTTAAAATGGAAACTTTTGTTCTGTAGTATTTATTTGATTTATTTCTATTAAATTTAACATGGACTTATTTTATTTGATAAGGCTTGAACTGCTCTATTAAAGATATAACTGAAAGATGAATAAATATACCATGACAACGTTTGCCCCATTTTTTCACATGAAAAAGGTGTATCTCCATCACAATGATGCTCTGCTACACATCAGGGTGGTAATTTCACTGCCTCTACAGAGAACCATTTGTTTAGAGTTTTCTCTCAGCGGCACGTTAAAGAAAATATTTCCTCCCCTCTCAGAGCATCGTGCAGCTCCAGTGAAGATTAAAGCTCCGGTACAGATGCCCAGAGCAAGAGCGTTCTCTAGAGAGTGCTCCACCTTCACTTTCTAATCTCCTGGTAAAAAGAACAGTAGAAAAAGCTTGTGCTGCTCCATTTTTCATGGGGGCGAGTTCTGGAAAAGCCTCCGTGGCACTTTGAGATGAAGCGAGCAGAGTGGGACATGCTGAGAGGCCAAGGACAACAAAAAAACAGCAGGATGACTGCAACTCTACAAATCCGCCACAATCCAACGTGAGAAAATACAACTTGGCAAACAAAGATTTGCAGTTAAATAATTGAAACATATCTCTAAGTCCAAATGTGACTGAGCCTCATCCCACAAAGTATATTCTATAATGAATCTGCCTCATGAAGTGTAACAGTATAATATATTTTTCTGTATCCTTCTATAGGACACAGTGCACCCCCCCATATTTCAGCATTATGTCTACCTTCCATAAATAAATCATCAGCTCTTTCATATTTCATTTAATTCACTATCTTTTAAGCAAACCCCCTCACACACACACACACACACACACAAAAACAATACTACGCTCACCACCCAATGTTCAATGTTCACTGTTTTACACATGTGGGCATAGAAATTCACACAAGCACATACACAAGAGCACACAGTGAAACACTGCGCTGAGCTGTTAACTGCTGATGAGCAGGAAAAGAGACTTATATCCGCTCTGATTCCTTCACACACATCAGTCCCATTCAGGGAGAGGAATGAGACAAGAGAGCAAAACAGACAGATGAGATTCCCTCTGTTATTTACCCTGTGTGCAGCTGTGCACACATACATTTCCTTTACTTCTTCATGTGACTGTTGTGAATTCAGAGGCAGATATTGTGTCGACATTCCCAAAGATTCCCAGATATTAAGACATAATATCACTGTTAAAATGTCACTGAGGTTCTAACTGCACTGAAACCCTGCAGAGGTAACAGTCGTTTGTTTTGCACACGACTCAAAAGATGCCATGTTGCTCCTCTTTTGTTGTTATCATCTTTATCTGCTATTCACCACATCCTCCTTTGTTTTTGATAAAGACTGTGGGAGATTTTCACTGCTGTGCTTTTTTTTTTAAGATATTGATGTTGTTTAGGGAATTTCTGTTGCCCTAGAAAATTTTCTAAAAATATTAGTGATATTTTTGGATCTTACTCTTTGGAGGGGAAAAGAATACATGAAGCATAATGCAGCACTAATTAAGCACTGAGATAAAATATAAAATACCAGTAAATGTGGGATTCTAGTTATTACAGAATGCTGCTGCTCAAATTAACACACACAGGCTCATACTATTGTTACAGTACAATTCATAATTCTTAATAAATCATCCGTGTATCTCTAAGTAAAACATTAATTATGATTATTTATCTCCAGCTTGATGTCCCTGAGGTGTGATCAAACGCATAATTACAAAAAAATGGTATTAGAGAATTAACAAATTGTCCTTAAAGGGCCCACACAGCTTCACATGTGTTTCCTGTCATAGAGACTGATCTGAGATCATGTTGAAGTCGACTTGGGGTCAGTAAGTTATGTCTTTGTTCTAATAGAGGTGTTCTAATTCTGTCCCCAACAAGTACGGATGCCAGTATGGGTATTTTTCATCATAGATGTTTTCACATGTCACAGTAGGAAAAGTACAGGTATAAATAAAACAATTAAAGATGGATACGTTCCATTTAGCTGCATCAGTTTCAGGGTCCTGGTATCTTGCATTGATCATTGGGGCATGTGTAAAAATCAGCACTTTTAACACTCTATAAAAGATGTTATTTTATTGCTAAAATATGTGCTTTTACTCTATGACACATCAAAATCTCCACTTGAAAAGGGCCAGTCCAAATATGAACTCTGTAGGTGTACGGATGCATCATGTGTGCTGAGTTTAAAAGAAAAACACAAGTCATCCCTGGATTAGTCTCAATGGGGAAAAAACAAAACACAATTCATGGAGACATTCACCTTTACAACAACTTTGCACTAATTTGGTTTTGTGGGCATCTATTATTCCTGTTAAATCAAACAGCACATGCACCAGATGTTCTCTGTAATAAAACACAAACACACACTGCAGGGCAGCAGGTCTGCAATGCTGAACCAAAGGAGCTTAACAAACAAACAGTTCAGGATTTCCACATAACTCAGATATGATCCTGATGAATTATTTATCTTTTATTTAAATCTTTTATCGTTATAGAATGATTGTTTTATTCTTCTGCCCCCCCCCTCCCCCCCTTCAGCACACAAAAGACAAAAACAAAAAAAAGAAGACAATGAATGCAAATCAAATCCCTTGACTCAAATTAAACAGTTTTTTGGTTTAGAATCACAGCATAAGTGATAATATGAATTAAAACCTAGTGTCTGAAGGTTTGTTAATACTGCTTCACATCATCACAGCAGTCTAACCTCACAGAACAAAGCAATGACTTGAGATGTGCTGAATTTGTTTTGCATGTGTTTGAAAATAAAATGCATCAAAAAAACAGGCTTAAACTTAATAAACTCAATATGTTTTGGAGTCGATTTGATAAGAAACAGCAACAATGATACTGTGCACACTCGTATATCTGTACAATGGGGTTTATAAGAAGTTAAACTAAGCTGTGAAACGTCAGTCAGAATTACAGTCACTGACACTTCTCTCTGATCAATTTCCATTATTCTTTCTCTGCTGCATTTTCATCTTAACGCTTCTTTCAGCTGCGTGCTGTTTGCTCCACACGTCCTCGAGCTCCTTCTTCTCTTCATCACCAGATATGTAACTGTCACCAGTTTGTGTCCATCAAGTGTTTTGAGGACGGTGTAGAATGATTTTAGTTCAGTTCTGAGGTTAGACTGATACTATTTTATACAAAGACATGCGTATACAGGCTAGAAACCTACAGCTACAACCTTTACTAATAAGGATACATAGGTGAAAACACTGCACACAGCAATAGAGAATGTGGATAAATGGCTATTTCGAACACTGGATGTGTTGAGTTCTCTCTGACATGATGGGTTTGTTGGAAATATCCATTCTCTATCTGCACCACACACTTGCAGCCCCACATACAAGCCAAAAACGCTTCCCGTCCTGTGTGCCAGTGGAGGCTGCTGCTGTTTGCACAGTTGCAGGAAAATGTTTCATGCACTTCCAGGCTCCAGCGTCTGATGTCCCTCGAGGATCCTTGTGCACAGACTGAGTGACAGTGAAGCTGCTGTTCACACAAACTCACAACACAGAACGTGAAAGCCAGCCTGGCATCTTCACTTAATATGGCACAAGTTACAGTATGTCCCGGACATCAGAAAAAGAAGCACACTTGAGCATTATACTGAGATATAGGAGGAAGAGAAAGCTAGAGGGATATTGTACAATATAACAGAGTGATCCACATTTGAAGTGGCTGAGACTATTTCAGTAATTGCAATGTGGTTTTAAAGCTCGATTTACCACCATGTGTCCAACAAAAATTCTCAGTCTTTACGTCATTTTTAAGTAAAATTTGCTGCTGCACAAGAAGCAATGTGTGGTGAGATGTGTGCAGTGAAATGTGGAGAGGGTCTCCATCTGGTGGAAGGATGGAGGTACCTGTACTCAGACAGAGGGGCAAAGTTAATCAGCGACAGTCGCTCTTAATTGTGCTTCAGTTAAAAACCACACTCTCTTCATCTGCAATTAGGCACGAACCAATTTGCATTACGTTTTCAGAGATCTGTAAAAATCAGCATGTTCACAGACATTCTGATATGTTAAAAAGGACCTGTAATGTCCTGCTGGACATGTTGGTCAATCGGTCAGTACAGTGACTAGAAAAGCTTCCACGATGACCTGGATAAAGACACAAGCAGATAAGAATGCAAATAGCTGCTGCTGAAAAGAATTATGCAATGTCTTTTGTATAACACTGCCCTCAAGCAGACAAACTGAGTAACTGCAGAATGCTGCTGCAGGAAATATGCATTATTTGTGCAATAGTGACTATAACCATAAAGTTGTGTTAATGATTTCTGCTCTCATTTGAACAACATGGACACTTGGACACTAAACATCCAGTAGAGGATGACTGTAAACCTCTCTACAAACTAGGAACAATGATTGACTTACTGTTCAAAAACCTTTAAATAATTTTTAAACTTAGATGGCTCTAGCTACATATACAATAATTAAAGGTAAAAACAATGCCTCATCTATTGGGTGGCAACCTGAAAACAGAAAGTAATTCTCCAACATCACTGTTGTTAAAGGGACAATAAACATTACATCAGATTTTACACTTTAATCACATATTGCAAAACAGCTGCACTTTTGTCTCTTTATATAAAGAGAAGCAGTTTTGTTGCTTGTATTTCATAAGATGGAAAACACAACACGTATGATATAATGATTTCACACATTTCTTTTATGTTTACGTTGTGTTTCTTACTGAGGTTTCATATCAATAGGTTGTGTTTTATAATAGTCACTGCAGGTTATTTACTTTCTCAGAGTACAAAAGTGTTAAATACTGTTGTATATTTTTTTCCATATTCAGATTTGTTTCCCTCCTTTTTGAATTGAGATGAACAAGCAACAAAAAGTTAAGACATATTCTTCTTCTTTAAAAAGATGATCAAATATTTATATTTACCATCTGACAAACCAGTGCACAACACAATACAAGAGAGCGGATGACAAACAAAATGATAGATGGTACAAATCCAATAAAGTAAATAAATGACGCAATGAACTGAAAAAGTAAAAAAGAAAATAAAAAGTAATCAAACAAAAGTGAATGAATCTAATTGAATGACAC